GGGGGGGGGGGGGGCATATCTTAAGTAAATAAGAGAAGACGACAGTATTCCATTGTTTGTCATTAGTTTTCTGTTAAGACTTAAGATATGGCCCAACAAATAAAGGATATGCTTGGTTTATAACCTATATCACACCGAGCGTGAGAGGGGGCGGGAGTGAGAGCAAGAGCGGAAGCACCTTTGAGAGCGTCATGGTATATACATCATATATATTTTCATGTTTAAATGTTTGTAAAAATAATTTTAAAAATATAAATTCATATGCAAAGAAACACAATTGCTGAAAAAATGGCCGCAAAAGAAATAATGGTCAAGAAACAAGGTAAGCAAAAGAAACAACCTGAAAGGCATTTCTATGCCTAGATACCAATCCCACATTGGAAGCACAAGAACAAGTGACACTCAATTTAGCCTATAAAAAGAGGGTAAGTGGGCAGATGACACGCACTTTATTCTTCAAAACTCACATGTGAGCTTTGGCTACAAAAGTAGCTGAGGCCTTCTAGTTGTTCTTTTGGGCTTGCGGCCCAGTTTTATTATAAATATATAATTTAGTGTAGTTATTGATTTCGTAGTTAATATTTTTGAATTGGTGAATATGTTACAAATTTTTGTGCTTGGAGTATTAACGTGTGACTTAATCTTACATTTTACCAAATTATTCTCTGCAATTTATTTCTCTTTGTTAAGTAAAGAAGATTAACATATTATTAGAGAGAAATAAAGAGGTTAAAAATACTGAAACTTAGTTTTTATACATTACATATTCATATGTATCTCATAATAAGAATTATACACATTCTTTTGTATTTATACATAGTATTCTAATACAATTAATAATTTATATATTTAACTCTAATAATTTTAACACTTTCTCTCAAATTAGATTATATATATTATATAACTTAAATTTTAGACAAATCTTACCGGTATAATTCAATATTTTAGTAAATATATCTGTAAGTTAATTTTCAGATTTCATAAATAGAGACGTAATCCTCTTAATTATTATCTTGTCTCGAATAAAGTGACGATCAATCTTAATATGTTTGGTTCTCTCGTGAAACACTGGATTGATAGCGAAATGGATAACTGTTTTATTGTCACAAAACAATTATAAAGGAGGTTGAACTGAAAAATTAATTTCTTAGAGAAAGTGTAGTAGTCAAGTCAACTAATTCGTCGTATGCGTCATTGTCTTATACTCAGCCTCAGCACTAGATCTTGTTATCACAGATTGTTTCTTACTTTTTCACGAGACGACGTTACCTCCTAAGAAAATACAATAACTAGTGGTTGATCTCCGATCAGAAGGAAAGTCAGCTCAATCAACATTTGAGAAACCTTCTACTCTAAGATGTCCATTAGCTTGATATAACAGTTCAAGTCCAAGAGCTCATTTAAGATATCGTAGAATACGAGTAACTATCTCCAAATGTGGTACTCTTTGACATCTCATGAACTGACTTACTATACTGACTGCATATGAAATATCCGATCGAATAATAGTGAGATAATTAAGCTGCCCAATCAATATGTGATACCAACCTGAATTCTCAAACAGTGCGCACCATCATCCATTAACAGATTCTGATTCAGATCCATAGGAACATCAATTGGTCTGCCACCCAACAAACTTGCTTCCTCTAGTATGTCAAGTATATATTTTCTCTGTGATAAACAAACACCTTATTTAGATCGAGCTACTGCAATTCTCAAAAAATACCTGAGTTTTTTCAAATCCTTAGTATAAAATCGATCTTGTAAGAAGATTTTTAACTTGACAATCCCCCTCATAATCATTTTCAGTAATCAACAATATCATCTACATAGACTACCAATAGAACATATCCAGCAGCCGTCTGTCTATGGAATAAAAAATAGTCTGTCTGACATCAAAGAAGACCAAACTCTAAAACTGCATCCGAAAACTTACCAAACCATGCCCTCGGTGACTACTTCAAACTATACAAAGATTTCTTTAACCGACATACACTCTTACTATACTCTCCCTAAGCAGTAAACCTAGGTGTCTGCTCCATGTATACCTCTTTAACCAAGTCACCATGTAGGAAAGCATTCTTGACGTCTAACTGAAACAAGGGTCAATCAAGATTAGCAACCAAAGAAATCAAGATACGAACAGAGAAAATTTTGGCAACAAGAGAAAAAGTCTCCTCATAATCAACACCATAGATCTGAATAAAGCCCTTTGCAACAAGCGGGGCTTTGAGACACTCCACAGAACTATCCGAATGAAATTTAACAATATACACCCAACGACAACTAATAGTTCGTTTATCAGGGGTAAAGGAACAAGATCTCATGTCCCATTATGATGTAAAACATCAATCTCATCCTCTATAACTTTCCTCAAATCCGCATCAGATAATGCATCCTGTAAATGCTTAAGGATAGATATACTAGATAATTGAGAGATAAAACAAGAGAAGACAGAAGATAAAGCATCATATAAAATAAAATGAGCAATGGGATGATTAGTAACACACGAACAAGTACCTTTTTGAAGAGCAATAGGTAAAGAGTCTAAATTATCTGATAGACCAGGATCAGAAGGCAGCAAGAAAGATGGTACGAACACCTCAGTCGATGGTCGAGAACGATGAAAGTATACACAAAGAGGTAAAGTAGACGGTAACACAGTGAGCAGCGGAATATCTGAAGATGAGATAAGAGATGGTGGTACAAGAGGTGACCCAAAGTCTAGATCCAAAGGCTGAGAAGGTGCTGAAAAATATGGAACAGATCCTCAAATGTGACATCGGCACTAGTAAAGTATCATCGCAGAGAAGGACTGTAGCAACGATACCCCTTCTGTGTGTTGGAATAACCAAGAAATACACATTTGGTAGCTCTAGGATCAAATTTATCAAACCCAGGACCCAAATTGTGAACATAACAGACACATCCAAAAATCGTAGGAGGTAGGAAAAATAAGGGTTTACCAAAAAAAAGGACAGAATATGGACTTTGCCCATTTAACACAGATGATGACATACGAATAATAAGGTGACAAGTAGTAAGAACAACATCACTCCAAAAAAATCGAGGAATATTCATCTGGAATAAAAGGGTACAGGTGACTTCTAACAAATGACGGTTCTTGCGTTCAGCAACACTGTTCTGTGGAGATGTGTAAGCACAAGAAGTCTAATGAATAATGTTAGTTTTACTAAGATAAGCTAAAAAAGAATCAGATTCATATTCCCGAGTATTATCAGAACTTAAAATACGTATACAACAACCAAACTGAGTTTCTATTTCTTTACAAAAGATCTTAAATATAGAGAATAATTCAGACCAAGCTTTCATCAAAAATAAGCAAGTCACACGAGAATAGTCATCCACAAAAGACACAAAATAAGGATATTTATTAGATAAAATATTCTTTATTGGATCCCATACATCAGAATGTACCAACCCAAATGGAATAGACACACGATTATTGACTCTAGACTGAAATGACACACGATGATGCTTACTAAGTTGACAAACTTCACAAGACAAAGACGACACACAACTAAGACTTGAAACTTAGTGCTTCAGATTTTGGAGAGAGGGATGTCCAAGACGACAATATCATTGAAAAAGAGACGAGATCTATAGAGTCCGAGTAGGTGAATCAAAATCAAAATAATATAGGCCACTGGCTTCATGTCCCGTACCAATCTTCCTCTTCGTCTTGAAATCCTAAAAGATACAATAAGAGGAATAAAAGGTTATTAAACAATTGAGAGAACGGGTAATCTTACTAATAGAAAGAAATCTAAAAGGAAACTAAGGAACAAATAATCCAGATGATAGGGACATATCAGGACTCAAGTGAGTAGTCCCTAGACCTGAAATTTTAGAACAAATACCATTAACAAAAGTAACACTACGTGTGGAAGTAGCAAACTGATAAGTAGAAAAAATATCAGATGCACCAATCATGTGGTAAGAAGCGTCAGAGTCTATAATCCAGGAACTGTGGGCGGAGGACAATAAACAAGTGAAAGCAATACCTGACTAGGCAACAATAGCAGTGGAGGAAGATGGAACAGCTTGTTGCTGGGACAAGAACTAGGCATACTCCTCTCGACTCAGTGTAATAGTAACTGATCCAGTGTCTAGTGGAGCTAACCGAGGTATGGAAGCAACAACCGAGGTGTCATCTTGATAAGAAACCTGAATAGTAGCACCAGAAGATTTTCTATGTAAATCCCAACAGAAGTCAACAGTGTGTCCTCCACGACCACAGTGAGTACAGGAATGAGATCCACTATGGCCCCTACGACCACCTGTATGACCTCCTGTATGACCACGTCTACCTCGATGACCATCGCTATAACTACTAGAAATCACAAGAGCTGAGCGATCAGTGGAGACACCATGATTAATACCTGAAGGAGTAGACAATGTAGCACGCTGTAAACGAGAAAAAACCTCAAGCAGTGATGGAAGACTAGAGCCACCCAAATTTTGAGAATGAATAGCCTCATATTCAGGTTTCAATCCTACCAAAAACCTAACAACATTCAGGTCCTCATGTTGCTTCTGCCAAACTACTGCATCAATAGTACACGGATGGTAGGTTTTCATCTCCTCACAGACTCCCCGAATGTGATAGTAATAATCCGCAAGGCTAAGAGTACCCTGTTCCAACCGAAAGTACTCCTTGCACACCTCATATGCAGGGGTAAAATTACGTGTACCAAAATACATAATGGCCAAGTGATCCCATATCTCTTTGGTAGTATCAAAATAGAGCAGAGAAGGGCTAACACCAGGCTCAATGCTATTCAACAATAAAGAGATAATCTGAGCATTCTCTTGTTCCCACTGATCATACCAAGAAGTGTCTTCCTTGGGTTTAGGATCCACCAAATATTTCTTAAATTCTTTTGTCTCGAAGAAAGACTTGCATAGATAGGGACCATAGAGTGTAATTAGTCTCATTGAGTTTGACAGAGGTCATGAGACCATTGATAAGAGTAGGAGGAGTCAAAGATGGAGTAAGAGACATGGTATCTTGTTTGGGTTCCATAATAGTGCATCAAATCGCAAATAAAAAGTGTTGCAATGTTGAACCGGAGGAAAGAAAGCTGCTAGAGGACTAAACCGGAGGAAAGAAAGTAACTGGAATACTGAACTGGGCTGGAAATAAGGGTTGGACCACTGAACCGGACCAGTTGGACCTGCTGAAATATTGAACTGGGCTGGAAATAAGGGCTGGACCACTGAACCAGACCAGTTGGACCTGCTGGAATACTGAACCGGGGCTGGACCACTGAACCGAACCAGTTGGGCCTGCTGGAATACTGAACCAAGCTAGAAATAAGGGCTGGACCACCGAACCGGACCAGTTAGACATGCTGGAATACTGAATCGAGCTGAAAAATCAGGCTGGACCACTAAACCGGACCGGCTAGGCTCTCTGGACTACTGAACCGGCCTGAACCCTGGGCTGGACCGTGTGTTAGACCGGGATTGGACTTAAAAACAATTTAAGACCCTTGCTTGGCCCGATTTGATCCAGACCCAACTCCACGGGTTGAATCCCTTCTTCTTCACTGGCTGATTAGGGTTCCAAGAGAACCCTCTGGTTCAACAACACCACACACCACACGAAGACAACAACAACAACACCACCGCCACCACACACCATGACGAAGACAAGGCGCCACCAAGTCGACTTCCACCACCACGACAACAACCTCCACAGCACAAAGATCAACCATGACAACAGTAGACTTCCACCACCATGACCGCAACCTCCACAACACAGATATCAACCACGACAACGGTATCACCACCACCACCACCAACAAAATTAATTAATTTTTTCAGAATATATATTTATGATCATAATCGCTCTGATACCATGTTAAGTGTAAAAGATTAACACACTATTAGAGAGAAACACAAAGAGGTTAAAAACACTTAATCTAGCCCTCATACATCACTTGTATTTATAGGTATTTCATAATAATAAGAATTACACATACACACCCTCTTGTATTTATACATAATACCCTAACACTATTAACAATTTACATATACTATCCTAATACTCTTAACACTCTGTATTTGATCTCTTAACCATCCGTAAAAATACTCCTATGATTGGAGCATTCTAATAGGAGTAATATCTGCTGTTTATTCAGGTTTTTTTTCTATTTGGAAGTCTGACAAAGACTGATAGGACAGTTTGAACTACAAGGTTGAGGTAAGGGGGGCTAAAATGAATCAATCACTTTATGCTTATATTTACCATGGAAATGACAATAATCATAGATAATTTTTCGCTATAATTTTCGCACGCATTTATATGCACAGGATATGTTGTAATTTGCTTTTGTTTCCTGAACTCATCATATGTTTGCCAGCATAACTTTCTCAGAATGTGTATCTGGAAATTCATTGGCAATGTGAGCATCATCATCGCTCCGCCAACTTGTAAAGAGGGCGGAAAAAAAAGGAAACGTCTGAAGTAAAATATGGGTTAGTGTAAACGGTTGATGTCCACAGACAAAAAAGATCAGATAATATAGCAGAGGGTACTTACAAAGTACTTCATGGGCTGTCAGACGCTTTTTGGGGTCTCTTACAAGCATTCTTCTAACCAGATCTTTTGCACTTTCAGATATGCTTGGCCATGGTTCAGAGGTGAAGTCAAGTTCACCTTTTAAAACTTGCTCAAATATTCCTTGCTCCGTTTCTGATACAGAGCACAAGATTGCATACCAAAACATCAGATGCAACTGCTAATTCCTAGAATTAAAAGGAAGCTGCAAAACAACAAGACAGAAGAAGATGAAGTTCTCACCATCCCAAAATGGTGGGACTCCACTAAGCAAAATATAAATGATAACCCCGGCACTCCAAACGTCACATTCTTGACCATAATGTTTCCGCAACACTTCCGGAGCCACATAATAAGGGCTTCCCACCACATCAGTGAATGTTTCACCTGAATGGGTGAATTATTAGTTCTTTACCAGAAGTAGGAACAATAGGCCAACGACAGCAACAAAGGAAGCCATGCAATTCCAACTGAGTTCAGATCATCTAAAAAAAGGAATAAGCAAAGACAATTGGTACTAGCATGAGCTGGGCCATCACTTAAATAATTGAGAACCAGAAGTTAATGAAACAAATATCCATTCAAGCAACAACTTACTCCTATGTAAATACTATAAGATATATTGGAGTATATATAGAAAATCATACACAACTTTGGCAAATGCTACAATACTTTGACGAAGGAAAAATTATAAACCTCAGGTGGTTCTAAGCAGTAGATTGTGCGTCAAAATGAGTCCATGAGCAAATCGTTCTCACCATTGTTGGTTAACTACGTTTCAAAGCTCCACATTTAGCCATTACTTATCCTAGACGAAACCAACCATAATTAGAACTTTCAAATGGTTTGAGAGGGAATGTGGGTGACAACAGATACTGTCATAAGAAATGTGCATAAATAATGGTTAAGGTTTGCTTGGGCCAGGTCAGGTTGGCTTCAAGGCAGGTTGATTACAACATGGTGACATGCACACCCAGTGCCCACAGCAAGACCAACCAAACCAATCAACAACCTAAGCCTAGTATAATCCCATATTTTAAATAAGATTATGGGTAATGAGTGATTTACTTCTATATGGTATCAAGATAACCCCCCTCCTCCCTTCCCCCCGGTTCACAAAATTTTTCATGGACAAAGTTCCAACAGCATCCTCCATTCAGGAGTGAGACCTGTTTTTTTTTTTTTGAGAAACTTAACCGAGCACAAGCATAACGTAACTGCTCGTATTCATGCATTAAAATTGTTAATTTGACTACAGTATGATACTGCATGAGTGCAGATCTTTGATAGCTTTGTGCCTGAAACATGCTGCAATATTAGAGGGATCTGGCAGCCAAAATGTCATCAATCTCTCACCAATGGCTGTAAAGATTGGATTCACAAAATTTTTTATAATGAGCTAAGATGTTACCCTATTCACCCAAGTCACACATAAGCAACACATTGTTACTGGGACAAGAATATATGAACTAACATAACAAGAGTAAGATCTCCATATGTCAACTTAAAAGAAACAAAAAGATGGCAAGCGCCCTAGGACCAACGTTCCCTCATGCAGTCTCCAAAGAATTTCCATAACTAAACTCCTAGAACAACTCTTGGAATACTTTTGTTTAACTAGAATATGTATAGACATATTAGCAGCCAAATTTCCAGACAACTACCAGACTCTGACCTCAAAATAGAAATTTTGGAACTTGGCTTAGTAAGCTACAACTAAACCTACTCAATGCATAGCCCTAGGTTTTCTCCACTCCATAATTGGACTCTCTTCTCTTTACATTAGATACTTGACATGATATGGCCATTCTTACAATTCAAAATAGGGCAATATCTATTTTACACCCTTATAGTTTGGGTTTGTAGCATAAAAATAAGCACATAACTCCCATATGTTTTTAGACTAATCTGCTGCCACTACAATTTCCATCAAATTGACAGAAATCGTGATCACGCTGATGTAGAAATTGGGTCAAAGTCAAAGTTAATAGTAAAAAGACAAATATAGCCTTTAATTTTTTTGAAAAATAAAAATATTCATAGGTAGCCCACTGCTGTAACATCTCTCTCTTTCCCTAAACTCAAACATGGGGACTATGTTATTATGTTTGAACCACAAAGAGGTAAAATGCTATATGCCCACACCACGTGAGGGCAAAATGGATTTTTCCCTTAAAATTATAACAAATAAATAAGTAATAGACATTGGTTTTGCACATTGGAATTCATTTACTTGCTCTCCTACAAAGACAAAAAAATAGGAAACAACAGACAGAATATTAGAAAAGAAACAAAAGGTCATATATTGATGTTCAGTTCAATCAAACTTTTCAAGCTGTGATAAGACAATTTGCGAATTGATGGGTGTGGGGTTCCTAGTTTGGGATTTGAGAACATAGGAAGTGTGGTAGTTAGCAAATGTGATTAACTTAGGAACGATGAGGTCTAAAGTCTACAAATGTCATATTTCTCAAAGGGGACAAAAGGAATGCCATACAGGAGTTCTTTCTTTTAACAATTAATAATGAAAAGCACCAATGTTGATATGAGAAAAAGTTTTCTTTTAACAATTTATTATTCATTTTCTACGTGATGGAAAGCTTGTACGTTTAGGGAAAGACTACTTGTTAACTAAGAACAGTGCCATTTATAATTGTGTATTCAATGGTTTTCCATAATTGGAGAACTTGAGGAGACAGTGGGATCATAACATAAGCAGTGCCCACTTGAAATGATGTTGATAAGAACAAGAAAGCCATCAATAACTTAGGCTACGAGTAAACACTTCCATAACAAAGATCCTGGTGTACTTCGGTGTTTCGTTTGTATAAAATGTGCATGTGCAAAATAAGGTAATTGTCTCAATACAAAAAGAGAATGTTATCAATCTGTTAGAAGAGAGTGGAATGTTTGGCATGGCACCATATCAGGGATTACTCCTAGGCATCCAAATCTGAATGGTCTTCAAAGATGTATAAGTTATAGATCAACGGATACGTTGTAGGGTGACACTTATGCTCCTTACTATTTTCTATTGAGAATGTTCCATCAATTATACCATTTCCTGAGTTGATTGTACCAGGAAACAGATATAGATCTTCCACTAGACTATCAATTAGCTGGTGATTATTTAAATCGTAATACTCATGCTAATTGAGCTGGTGATTGGTCCAAATAAAAGATCCTTATCTGTATGATATGAGTGGTTCATACATGAGGTAACCAACAAAGTTCAACAATGACGGACTCTACGAGTGCTTTCCGAAAGAACATCTATTCTGTAATGTTTCTACGTTTAGCCAAACCAAATAAAAAAGGGAACTCTTAGAAAAATACCTGGCCTAAAGAATACTGAGAGCCCAAAGTCAATCGTTTTAAGTGGTGACTCCTCTTCCTTGTCAACAAAAAGAAAATTCTCAGGCTTCAAATCCCGATGCATAACCCCTAAAGAATGGCATGCTTCCACAACACCAACTATTATCCTTGCAAGCTCAGCTGCCTTTCTTTCAGAATAATGGCCCCTCTGTATAATCCTATCAAAAAGCTCCCCACCTGCACAAAGTTCCATAACAACATGAACCGCAACAGCATCCTCATAAGCACCTACAATTGATATCACATTCGGGTGCCCTGCCAAGTGGTGCATTATCTGAATTTCCCTCCTAACATCCTCAACATCCTCTTCAGTAGTCAACTTCCTCTTAGCTATGGACTTGCAAGCAAACTCCTTCCCTGTGGCCTTCTCCACACATAAAAATGTTGTCCCAAACTGTCCTTGTCCGAGCTTTCTCCCTAAGCTATAAATCTCCTTCAAATTATCAGTTTTCCCCTGCAGTACAGATTCAACTCGAAGTCCCACACTCGACACACGCTTAATGTGATTAGGCTTATTCTGTTTTGCAGCTCCCACAGGCTTGCTTCCCTCCTCTTTCACCTGAGGCTTAACCGATTTCATGCGTTCAACCGGTTTAGCCTCACTGCTTATTTTAATCGGTGTAGGCGGCGTACTTTGGACACCAAGTGGAGGTTCAGATCCTTTAGATGCCTGGGAAGATGATTTTGCTGACTCTTCCAAATTGGCCACATTTCCATCTTTGTTACTGGTGGTTTCTTCATTAGGAGGGGGGAGAGTGTTCTCTGGTGGTCGGGTTCGCCAAACTGCAGCTGTGACAGACTGTAAGAACCCATTGTTCCCCAAATTGGGTCCTACACATGTGTTCCCCATGAAATACCAGTCTCAAATCCTATATTTCTTGAATCCCATCAAGCAAATTTGCCCCAAATGATCCCATTAACAATAAAGTACCACAAATTCAAGCAATGTAATCGAATCAATACACAACTACAGCAGACCCTAATGCACAACAGTACAAATTCTGCTCGCAAACCCTAATTTTGACCACCCCAACACAACTGTTGTGCAGAGAATTCAAGCTCCCAGACTTTATTGAACCACAAAGGTACAATCTTGTTCATGAATTGAGCACTATTTGAGCAAAATATCTTAGAAACCTTGAACAGATGCAATAGTAAACATCTAAAGGGTGAGAAAATTTCAAGAACTCCTTAAAAAATAATACCAGATGCAAATTTTGAAGCTAACACGATGATCAAGCATAATGAACAAAACAACGAACAATAAATGAATTACGCTCTCGATAATAATCAATGAAAGCAGTGCGAAAAAGGAAGAAGCGACGTAAACCTTGAATGCGACCTTCAATTTCAAAAGAATGTGAGATAATCAATGTACAAGTTCTGACATCAACGGAATGAGAAGAAAGCGAAAGAAAATCTGTGGGAAACTAGGAAGGAAAAACTACAAAAATTGGATTAGAAAAATGAAGGAATACGAGAGAGTATGTGAGAAAATTAGGGATTGTGAACGAGTAGCTGAACCAACACGGAGGATCAAATGGATGGGTCGGTTGGTTTGAATTCCGAATTGGTTTTGTGCGGAAAATGAGGGGGCGACGCCATTTCCACTATTTTCATTCCAGGTTGGAGAGATAGAGAGAGAGAGTGAAAGACAGAGGCGTTTTATTCGTTGGGTGAATTACAATTTATCCCTTAAGTTTACCCTTGATTTCTATTTGACCCCTCAATAATCAATTACAACAATCAAATCCTTAAACTTCACGACTAATTTCAACTTCGTATATCAAAATTCATCAGTAATTAGTACGAAAAAGCGTTGTATGAGCATTACATACCTCAATCACATACGTAATTTTGACAAACTAACATAAACTTGGGTCAAAGATAAGTCAATACATCCAATTGAAATACCCAAATATATATATATATTAAATGAGTCCACAAACATAATTTTGATACATAAACTTTAACTTTAGAGCCAACTTATTCAAAATTAATCCCATAATTGAATCGTGATGTACTCATGTGAGGTACCTTATCCATGCTGAGATCAGAATTTTCATAAGAGACAAATCATTATAACTTGGCCCTAAAGGGTTGCTAAGATTCGAACTCAGGACGTTTAAATTTACAACTAGTTCATGTTATCACTTAAAATACTCCTTGAGGTTATAATGCCTTTTCCTTCAAAACTAATGAGAAATTTGAACTAGTGGACTTAATTGAAATAGAACTTAAAATTTAGGATTTGACTGGTTTAATTAATAGTTTAGGTACCAAATAAAAATTAGGTGTAAACTTTCAGGGTGCTAAATATAATTTATCCTTATTGGTACGTAAATTATGTAACGAAGCATAATGATATGATAGCTTGTTATACAATAATGTTTTGTGTCAATTATGCTGTCGGTCACGGTCGTTGATTTCCTTTGATACCGAAAGTTTACTCGTTCATGTACATGAGATCATATCAAAATAATTTGAGATTTGAAAAAAATATTATTATAGAAAATAAAATTACCACATAAAAAAAATTATATTTCCAATGGGTATTTATACCAAGTTTGTCAATACCGAGCTGTCACCTATTCCAAGTTAGATTACTGTAAGTTTCTATGGAAGTGGACTATGTGGTCCAACTCGAGCCTAGTGAATGCTATTTGCATACGACGTTTGAGTCATCTTGCGGGAACTCGAAGAGATTTCGGGCCATAAAAGGGGGCCCTTACTTAAATTCAACATTATTAAATAACGTATAAAATTTTATCATTTAAAAAAAATTATGATTAATTTTAGGGAAAGGTTACATTATCATTGCAATACAGTATCGAAAATTATAATTTTCAAATGTAAAGTTATAATTCATAGGGGAGTAGTTAAAATTGATTTATGGGTATGTGAAGGCTACTATAACCTTCTTTTAAACAGTTGTAACTTATATTTTCAAATATGCAAGCTTACTAAAAAATTGTAACTTTCGGTATATGAAACTATTTTTTTTTTTGATACCATAGATTTTCCCTCAATTCTAAGAGATATTGTGACTAATCAATAATGATTTAGTATGTGACTGTTTTGAAAAAAAAATAAAAGCAAAAAAAACGTAGAGTATGATTCTTACCGTCTGATAATTGCTTCTTTGGCTTTGGATGGTTAGATTTAGAGTAATTCATTAACACGATAAGAAATTAAAGAATTTGAAAGTTTTTTTGGTTTGTATCTCAAAAAATAGTATCCGAAAATTATTTTTGGGAAGAGTTTTAAGAAATCGTTTTTAAAAATTTTGAGATTGCAAAACTTGTTTGGTTGTATATTTTAAAAAATAATTTAAAAAAATAAAAATTATAAAAAATTATTTGGACAATAATCTCCATCTCCATCTCTCTCTCTCACTGTGCATCAAGACCCACAAAGTATAGTGAACCACCGAAACCTAAACTCACCACTAAAACTCATAACCACCACCAACGCATAGTAAACCACCGAAGTACAACCATCACCAAAACCTAGACTCACCATCGAACCCACAACCACCACCCGAAACCCATGTCCACTACCAAAACCCACAATTACCATCGAAACCCATAACTACCATCGAACAACAGCACAACTGTTGGGTAACAAGTACAACAAATAGAGACAGAGACATACACACACAGACGCTTAATGAGGCGATTTTGGAGAAGAAGAATGAACAGACATAGAAGGAGCCCAGTGAGGCGATTTTGGGAAAAATGAAACGTTTTTTCTTTTTTGTCTTCAATAAAAGTCGAAGGGGAGACCTCATTAATTTGGAGATAGTTGTTTCCCTTATTTTCATTTTGCTTTAGGAAACAATGAAAATATCATTTTGTTGTTCTCTAAAATTACATTTCAATTCTCAAAATTTTCAAAAAATTAGAGAACAAAAAAACTAAACAAACAAGTTTTTGGTGTTTTTAAAATTTTGAAAACAAAAAATAGTTTTCGAAAACTAAACCAAACACGCCTTGAGTCTTCTTTAAACCATCCATTTTGTAAATGAGTGGATACGACCTGACACGATTAATAAATGAATAAAATATGAGTAAATTCAATCAAAGATATATATTACACTATTAATTTATATATTAATTATACATAGTTCGTATACAATACGAACACAATATAATACGACTTATTAAACAAAAATCAATAAATGAATCACATATGAGAAAAGTAGTTTTTAACACGAACTCGTTGACTCTAACTAGACTCACTGTACTTTATTTGACAATTTAAAAATCTTACAGTAAATAAATATATATAATTAACTTCTTTCCATCGCGAATGTATGAGTTGGGGTTCCCATGATAGTTCCAATGCTTAAATGTATTAGTTTTACACTTGAAAGTCAAAAGGCACGATTTGTTTTGGGTTCGGTAATACACCGAGTTGACGAAGAAATTTATAATATAAAATAAGATAAATTTAAATAAATTTATACAACGGTCTTAAATAGATTCATCCAACAGTCACCAATATCCATCTCAAAACTATTCATATTAAATTTTAGTCCCCCTAGATATACTTGTTTAGAGAAAAGTCCGGCAAGGAAATTTATAGGAGACTAAGTCCATATTTAAAATTATATGTAATGACTTAAGTCCAATTTATTTTTTTTAATTTCAAAAACACCTCTAACGGTGTTAATTTTGGACAATTATGGAAAGTTATAAGTTAAATATTTTGAGATATATATGGTAACAAATTATTCAGTTTTTTATGGAAATAGAATATATCTGCATGAATTATGTCAAAATTATTGGACTATTAACTCAAATTCATACCAAAATTTTTCATTAACAAATTCAAATTTCAATTTCTGAAGCACAGAAATTTCAATTTCCCTTTTTTTCACCGGAGTTATTTTTTTATTTTGAAATTAGGTACTAAGTTTATTTTTCAAGTTACTGTTCTTGTGTTTATTGGAATTAGAATTGACTATTTTTTGTTTTTTTTTCCTTTGTTATTGCTGAAATTCAATGTCACTTTTCAGTATTCGTATCGCAATGTTCTTTACCCGATTTTTTTTTTATTTTTTGGAATTAGGTTCTAAGTTTTTTTTCCATGTTACTGATAGTGATTTATTGGAATTAGGTTCTAAGTTTTTTTTTCATGTGTACTGTTCTTTGTGAACATCTTTGATGTTTAAGTCACTAATAGCCTTCACCACTGACAGCAAGTTAGACCTGAATTAGTGAAATAAATATGTTTTTAGAGTATCGGATTTACTTTTGATTGTCATCACCTTGTAACATGACATTGATTTATTAATATCTTAATAGCATATAATGACATGACACAAATTCAACTATTCTAATGGATATACAACAATTAGCAAACAATATGTGTAAATGTAACATGAACAGTAACACCAATGTTGTGGAAACAAACATAGAAATATGATGTTTATAAATTTATCATTGTAACACTAATTAATGAATTGAATCCCAGTAATATCGTTTTAGTTACATCAACTAAACAGAATTTAGTAACTTCATTTTTCATTATGTAATTGCTTCTATTGGAAATCCATTGAGTCCCCATGTTACAAATTTAAAAATGTAAATAACAATATTCAAAAGTAACTTGAACATTTTTTGGAGGAAACTTGTGATATTTTTCCTTTTCGTAACCAACAGATGGTGTATTAAAAGAAAAAAACAAAGGGTGTGATGAGTAACACATATGCAGTAACATCAATTTCATAGTAACATTCATAGTACTTAAACACATCAATCCATTGAAATTAATTTTTCATGTTAAGACACAATAACATGATATATTTCATGTTACTTTGAATCAATGGTTTTTGAATGTCTTAAACAACGCATAAAGTAACAAAAAAATGTTCACAGGTAATTATATAGGAGGACCGGCCTTCACATTCTCCCACAATAAATTAGTAAGAGTGACATGAATATTTTCATCCCCCACATTAAATTAGTAACAATAACATGAATATTTTCATCCCAAAAGCTATATTGTGTTCACAGTAACATCAAAATTGGAATGATTATAGTAAACATACAATTCTAAAATTAAAAATTTTAAAAAATTTCAATTGTAACACATTGTCAATGTTTGAATTAGGACACTCAACACCGATCAATAACATCTATATATTGAAATTATGAGATAAAGTTTCTCAACTCCTCACACAATAATCTCATATATTTCACAGAAACACAACCAACGAATTTCAACTGTCAAACACATCAAAAAAATAACAAAAACAAAATACATAGCACTTTTATTATATTAACTATGAATCTCAATTTTTATGTTATTAATGCAAAAAACCAAAAAAAAAATAAAAAAAAAAACCTAGATAACAGTAAGAACGACGCATCAAGTAATGAGTTTCCTAAAATAGACATCAACATTCATCTAAAATCATAGACCTTTCAATCTTTTTATGAATCCCAAAAATTATTGATGATGATTTGAATACAGAGACAACAACAGTAACTTCTTCAATGAAGTCTAGATTAAACTTTGAAGAGTAGATTCAGATTTTGCTCTTATGGTATATATCTTGTCTGAAATTTGAATAGGATTGGTTTGG